CTTGAATAGGTTGAAATGAAAGAATTACCATTGTCGGCGAATTTAGATTGTGAACCAACCATTCAACTCGAGAAGATATCAATTATTGAAGAAGAGCATAAAGAAATTGACAAACTAATTACAAAGGAACCAAGCGAAGAAGTGGCAATTAATGATGATGAAATTAACACACATTCTTTCGACATCATCGATTGTCCAACAATTGAATTTGTGATTAAGTCCAAAGAGGAAGAAGTCTATATAGTTGATTTCGAATAGGCAAGTCATATCACATTGAACGAAGTAAGGTTAAGATTTGGAGAATCAATCAAAAGTGGATCAAAATCAAAATAAGCAAACTAAGCAAAATATCAAAAGCTTTCTTCAGAATTTCATGATACCGAACATCAAAATCAAGCTAATGATTATAAGTAAGCGCTTATTAGGAAGCATCCCAATTTTCTTTCTTTTTATTTATTTTACTTTTTAGTATAGGATTAGTAATTTTTATTGCTTTTAGTAGTATATGATATCTTCATCTACATATTTCCTTTTTAAGTGTGTATGAGCTTACTACAAATTATTTCATGTTATGATTAATTTTTACTATTTTGAAGGAACATGTCACTTGAATACATTAGATAAGGGAAAAGACATATATTTCCTGTTATATTTTTACACATTGAGGACAATGTTTGTTATAAGTTTGGGGTGGAAAAACATTTAGTTTTCATTGGTTTGTTTGCTTGTTCAAGTGCAAAAAATATATATTTTCAACTTATTTATTTCTTTTGTGTGATTGTGTGGGTTAGATAATTTTGCCTACCATGATGGATATATTTGGAATCATGTATTAGATTATAAATTGTGAAAAAAGTTACATGTTAGGATTTATTTATACTTATTCATGTGAAACTTGATATTTTTGTGTACAAGATTTATATTTTGTATCGTGAAGAAATAGTTTGATTCAAAATAGGTAAAACAAATAGTGGACTTTAGATGCTAAATCCAAATAACCACTAAATTATGCATCCTTACTAATTCTAGGATAGTTTGTGGGTGATTAAGTCGTTGTAGGGAAACATTGAGATAGATGTGGATTCCATGTGTACTAAATTTTGTATGAATTGTCTAAGGCCAACAATAAGAAAATTAGGTAAAAATCGTAAGTTATAAGTTGATTTTTGAGAATAAGTGTTAAATAATGGGTATTGCACTAATCATTGCATGATAGAGAGAAAATATTTTTTTATTGTGAAACTTCTGACTCGAGTGATTGAGTCTGAAAGGGTATCTAAAACCTGGTGCCCTATAGTCACTTGACTTGAGAATTATCGGCCAAAAGCTCACTACAAAGGTCATTTAGAAAATTTAATGGAGAAAAGTACGCACATAAGATGGAAAAAAAAAAGAAAAAAAATATTATTACATGCTTTGATTA